TGCCCTGAGGCCTTCATTGTGCCCATCCACTGCTGTCTCTTATACACATCTAGATGTGTATAAGAGACAGTATTAGTGCTGTCCCCTTCACCCACAAAAAAAAGAGTGATGGGGAGGTTGCTGAGGGATCCATTTAAAGCGTCACATTGGAGGGCAGTAGACCCAAGGCACGAAGGCTGGGTCTACGTGGAGGACCACACGAGCGAAGGGGAACCGGTGGGTTGGGTATGGGAGAAGGCCGGGGAACCAGAGTGGGAAACATGCCCCCCCAACTCGTGGACCCCCCCAACCCCGGTGGATGACAAACTGCAAAAAGAGGAACCACGGTCAAACGCCGACGCAGGGGATCGGGAGTCGGGACAGTGGAGGATGGAAAACTGTGACAAGGAAGGGAGGAAAAGGAATCTGGGTTCCAAAATGCACCCCGGGGCCTGAGAAGGGGCCGAAAGAAACAGAGATACCAAATGGTCTGGACCCCCCGCTTGCAGGGAACACACAAGAGGAAGCGGAGCTCGTACAGGGAGGGATAGAAGGAAAAGGTAGTAGAGAGACGGGGGATGCAGGAGTGGGCAAACCGGAAAACATTGGCCCCTCGGCGAACAAATTGTGCAGGAGGGGGGGGATGCGGGAGCTGGGGCCTGGGGCAGCAAGAAATGAAACAGATCGCACGCCCCCCAAAACAGCCAGCACCGAGCAGGTTGGCCACTGAACCAGTACCCGATCCCCTCCATGTGCAGACCGGTACACAGCAGGTCGGAATGGATGTGGAACCTTACAAACAGTCCGGCCTTGAGCCCGGGGGGACACAGCTTGAACATGGGGCACCACCTGCAGCGGACGAGGGTACTAGAGCCCACACAGACCCCTTTAACGTGGCGTTTGGGCCAGAGTCTATGGAAGTCGACCCTCTCCCGGCCAAGCAGGCAAAACCCCACAGGGTCTGTCACCTGGGGATGAGCCAGTAGGCGGAGAAGATGGGGCTCCGCCACAACAACTACCCCTGGAACAGAAGTTGGTAGCAGTGGCAAAATGACTAATGGCACACTTGAAAGCCAAATATGGCCTGGTTACGGAGGTCTTCTGGGACCGCACCTATATCGAATTATTTGCAATGGTAGACACGAGTTCCTCTCTTAAAAATGTGTTAGAACAGGGACTACAACCAGGGATGTCATGGACAGAGGCATGGAATAGATTGGCAACTATTATCTTCGGCAGGTTCCAGCCACCACCCCCTGACACCCCTGAATCCCCAAACAAAGAAACATTACAGCCAGACCCTCCTCCCCCTGATCCACCACCACCAGACGCTGAAGAGGACACGCTGTTGACAGACGGCTTAGACACCTGGTCGAAAAGGGCCAAGATGTTGGACCACTGTCGAAAGACGCAGTGGCGGATACCGATACGACAAAAGGAAAGTAAATGGGAGGTAGGGCTGTCACCGGTAGGGGGGAATCGGCAAGGGGGGGTGACCCTGCAGGGATGGACTTCCTTTCGGGCAGACCCATGTAACAGGCACTCAGCCGGCGCGGGAGAGAATGCAACTATCCAATCGTATTGTGGAATCCTTTGAACCCGGCGCACAAGCCATGGTCACTGCCACTACTGACTCCCTTAAAACGGCCCGGATATTCGTCCGCTTTGACCCGACCAAGGAAGCTGGTTGGCAATGGCTCACACACAGCCAGTTGCTCGACCTTCCAACGACCAAGATCAAGCCAAATGAAGTATGGACAGAAAGAGATGTGCAAATAAGTCTCTGTGCCCTTCTTCGGAATGGTCTGTTGGCCGGAGCGAAGGGTTGGAACTGGGAGCAGCAACAGTGGGAATGGCTCTAACCTTTCTGCCACAGGTACACAGAGACAAGGATAGCAGGGTAAGTTCGAATGGACGCTGTGAAAGCAGTATACGGAAAAGACAAGATTTGGAATCAATGCCAAAGGGCAGCAGACCTGGATCTGCGGTCCCTGAATGTGATCGGGCTAGCCACCGTAAAATCTAAGAAACAACAAACAATTTGGGACCTGGTTAGGGGGGTGGGGGGCAGGAATTGGCTAGGCGTCATCTGTGTTCAGGAGACTCACCTAATGGACTCCCCAGAACACAATAGAATCCACAAGCTGATCTGGCCACACAGAGCCTTTAGAGCACACGCCCCAAAACCCGGAAGTGCAGGAGTCGCCATCTGGTTCCCCCCGGAGTCCCTGGCAGACCCCATCCACTGGGTAGCAAAAACTAGAACATGAGGTGGTGTGCATTATCTGTATATACACCCCCAATGGGGTGGGGGAAAGGAAGGCCTTTTTCGAAAGGCTCAAATCGCAGATCCCGGTCGGAGTCCCGATCATAATTGTTGGCGACTACAATGCAGCCCCAGACCGATGGATGGATCGATGGCGAACACCCTTCCCCGCCCCTCTTTACATTGAGGAAGATGAGAGGATGATCCAAGACTTATGTTTGTCACTGAAACTTTTTGACACTTTCCGGACGCTCCATCCTGACACGAAATACTATTCCTGCCTCCGGAAGGAAGGAACAGAAGGTCAATCTAGATCTAGGATCGACCTGATCCTCGTCTCAGAGGACTTGCAGGGCTCGCTGCTTTGAGCAGCTATTCAGCCACGCAGTCAGTATACTGGGCTTGACCACAAAATGTGCACAGTCACACCGACCTTTCGTAAAAAAACCGACCAGGGGAATGGGTTTTATAAACCACTTAAGTCACACTGATTCTCTTCTTCAACAAAAACCATTCCTCAACTATATAAGAGACTGCTGGTCCTTCAGGCATACACAAAAACAACACATACCCCAGAAAATTGACTGGTTTAACAACGGTCTAATTTTCCTAAATACAAAATGTGAGGAATACTTGTCACAGTTAGCGGCCCGCAGACTTAATTGCGAAATAGACATACTTCAACAACTTCAGCAACTTGAACAACAGGAAACACTAGAGACCGTCAAAAACCACCAGTCGAACCAATCCCTACAACAACAACTACAAACTTTCGCTGTTCAACGATGGGAAGGAATGCGAATCGGGGCACGAATGTCACGACACTGAACCGAAGGCACAATGGACACTAAATCCTTCAGCATAGCCCGAGCACGGATACGGAGGACAATCATCGAAGCCCTATACAATCCAAAAATAGGATGCGAGGAAACGGTAACCTCCACCCCCCAATGTATGCACATAACACGGTTCTTCTTCAAGGATCTCTTCACATTTAGATGTTCCCAGCGGGATAAACGGGGGTTAGGGGAAAAAAATTTGCAACCTTCTTACAACCGCTCACGAATAACTTATTTGAATAAGAGAAGATACATCTAGACCGTCCGTTGTTCAAGGAAGAGATTTGGGCTGCTCCGGAGGAGGAAAAAGCATCGGGCCTAGACGACTTCCCAAAGGAATTCTGAGAAACATTCTGGGATCAGATAGCCCGGGAT